CTGTCCTGGGAGCAGCAACCATTGGGATCTGGGATGGTGGGTGTGAGAGCCGGTACCCGGCAGCCACAGGGCATCCGGATGCTCCTCCTCAGCCAGGGTGGAGGTGCAGAAAAGACGGTTCAGAGGGGTCGGGTCATGCAGACGCCTCTGCAACAGGTTGAGTCAAGAGTGAGCCAGGTCCCAGACATGGTGGGGACTCACCGCTGGGCTGAGGGACACCTGAAACGCTGACTCCTCTGCTGTGACATCCCAGTTGGGACCCGGCCGCCAGGAACGCCTCAAAGCCTCTCTCTGCTCTCAGAGCTGCAAGGCGGCTTTTTCTCAAAGCAGACCCAGACTTCACCATGCAGGTTCACAATGTTTCAACACTAAGTAAACAGCCAGCCTCACCAAATCTCTCAGGTAAAAGGGTTTGTCTAGAAAGAATGGGACCTTGAGAACCGGGCTGTGCACAGTGTGTGGATTTGATAACACCCAGGCCTTGTGGACCCACAGCCCATTGTCATCTGTCACCAGCCAGAGCAGCTTAGCCCAGCTGCCTGGGGACAGAAATGTCCTGCAGGGATTCCCAAGAGGGACTGAGCCTCCTCACCAAGCCCACAACAGCAGGGCACCAGGAGGGAGAGATCAGCACCCTCAGTGCCCTGGATCACATGGCGGTTTGTCTCCCCAGAAATCTGGCCGACAGGTGAGTGGACCCCGCGGGCCTGACCCGCGAAGCCCAGATGTCCTCAGGCCTTTTTCCAGACCCATCATTTGTGCTGAGCTGAGCAGAAGTTACAATTTATGTGGTTCGTGAGCAGTGCAGGCGCCTGTGACTGCAGCTTGTGGGGCCAGTGACCGGCGACCAGGACTTTGACACAGATCCACGGCCCCTCCCCACAGTGTGGGCCGGGCCGGGGGCAGGCCCGAAGAGGCACAGCAGGCAGGCTGCCCACCGGCCTGGAGGAGGGCACCCTGCCCCCCACACACGGCGTGTCTGGGGTGGGGGCTGTGGGGGCTCCTGAAATTCTAGACCCCAGCCTAACGCTGAAGCCGTCAGACGGCACAGCCACACACTGTCCAGGGCGGCTGAGGAGCCCAGAGAGCTCAGGTGAGGGGCCTGGGCCCTGGGCTGCAGTGCGGCAACAGGCGCGATACCTGCAGACGGTGAAGACCCGTGACGCTGGGGTTGCCACACTGTCCCCTGGGTCCCAGGGCCTCTCTCACCCACCTCCACACACATACCCACACCAGGCACCTCAGATGCATCTGGACTCCCCCAGGCCCTCTGAGAGAGAAAACACCCAGAAGAAAAGGGAACTTCAGGAAGCAAGTCGTGCCACCAGGTTTCAATCCACTTTGCAAGTTTGCAGGACTGGGGGAAGGGAGTTCACACCTCTGGGGGCCAAGTCACAAGTGCTAGGGAGCGTGGTTGCAGACACAGCGCACAGACTCCAGGAGCCACATGTGTCTGGGGCCAGAGCAGGGAAGGGGCCCGGAGCCCCAGGCTGCAGGGAAGCCCCCTCCACGGCCCCCACCATGGGTGAGTCGGGGCTCCAAGGATGAGCGAACACAGGAATGAGAGCCCTGCAGGGAGACCGGCCTCGGGACCCCCGGAGGGGCTGGAGCAGCCGAGCCGGGCCCGGGGGAGGCAGCTGCCCCTGGTCACGGTGTGGGACGAGTGCAGGGACGGAACCCGGGGATGGAACCTGGGTAGAGTGCACTGCACCAAGAGCGCTGCTGCCCGGGGCTGGGGAGCTCGGGGGGGCTGCCAGGCCGTCGAGGAGCAGGACGGGCTGGGGGACAGGCGGGGAGGGCTGCGCATGACCAGGTGCTCTGGAGGCCGGGGCTGGGCGGGCAGGACGACAAGCCAGGATGGAAGGAGAGTCTGATGTGAGGACGCAGGGAAGGGAGAGGACCCCAGGGCAGTGAAGGCTCCTGGACAGGCCCGTGGAGCCGGCGTGGGTCCCAGGGCAAGGCCATGGGCGGTGGCTGTGGGTCCCGACTGGGCTGGGGCCGAGCGCAGTGGCAGAGCCAGGCACAGGGCTGCAGGCTGGCCGTGCTCTGTGTCCACAGCGGGCAGCACAGGGCTGAGCCCGCAGCCTCCCTGGGACACGGGAGGGCTGACCTGAGCCCAAGCCCTGAGGACCAGGAGCGGGAGCTGGGCAGAGGGCAGGTGACCAAAAACTGGAGGCAGCAAGGGGCCAGAGGAGGGCGTGGGTGGACGGACAGAGAAGAGCGGAGGGCAAGGGCAGGACCTCCACTGGGAGGGGCCCAGGTGGACAGAGCGCCTCCAGGGGAGAGCTTCCCGGAGGCCGCGGGGCACCTGGCAAGTCCAGGGAGGAGAGCTGAGCCCAGGAAATAAAGGAGTGAGGACTGGAGCTGGGCAGGAGTGAGGAGTCCTGGAAGGGCCAGAGGGGCACGGGAGGCTGAGGGGGCAGCCCTAGGGACAGGGGACAGCAAGGCAGCAGGTGAGCAGGGGCTGGGAGGTCAGGGGGAGCCCCTGAGATCTGGGGGAGCAGGTACAGCTTGTCGGGGAGCAGGGGCTGGGAGGATGGGGAGAGCCCCTGGAGATTTGGGGGAGCAGGTAGAGCTTGTGAGGGTGAGCAGGGGCTGGGAGAGCAGGGGGATGCCCTGGTGCTTTGGGGGAGCAGGTAGAGCTTCGGTGGGTGAGTATGGGCCTGGGAGGACAGGGGGAAATCCCAAAGGTTTGGGGGAGCAGGTAGAGATTCTGAGGGTGAGCAGGGGGCTGGGAGGACAGGGGGTACCTCAAAAGCTTTAGGAGAGCAGGTAGAGCTTCGGTGGGTAAGCATGGGCCAGGAGGACAGGGGGAGCCCTGGATATTTGGGGGAGCAGGTACAGCTTGTGAAGGTGAGCAGGAGGCTGGGAGGACAGGGGGTGTCCCTGGCGCTTTGGAGGAGCAGGTACAGCTTTTGAGAGTGAGCAGGGCCTGGGAGGACAGGGGGAGCAGGTAGAGCTTCTGAGGGTGAGCAGGGGGCTGGGAGGACAGGGAGAAACCCCAAAGCTTTGGGGGAGCAGGTACAGCTTGTGAGGGTTAGCAGGGGGCCGGGAGGACAGGGGGAGCCCCTGAAGGTTTGGGGGAGCAGGTAGAGCTTCTGAGGGTGAGCAGGGGGCTGGGAGGACAGGGGGATGCCCTGGTGCTCTGGGGGAGCAGGTACAGGTTATGAGGGTGAGCAGGAGGCTGGGAGGGCAGGGGTGGCCCTGGAGATCTGGGGGAACAGGTACAGCTTGTGAGGGTGAGCAGGGGCTGGGAGGGCAGGAGGATGCCCTGGAGATCTGGGGGAGCAGGTACAGCTTGTGAGGCTGAGCAGGGAGCTGGGAGGACAGGGGGAGCCCCTGAATATTTGGGGGAGCAGGTAGAGCTTCTGAGGGTGAGCAGGGCCTGGGAGGACAGGAGGAGCCCCTGGAGATTTGGGGGTGCGGGCGCAGCTTGTGAGGGTGAGCAGGGCCTGGGAGGACAGGGAGGGCAACTGGAGATCTTGGGGAGCAGGTACAGCTTATGAGGGTGATCAGGAGCTGGGAGGACAGGAGGAGCCCCTGAAGATTTGGGGGAACAGGTAGAGCTTCTAAGGGTGAGCAGAGGGCTGGGAGAATAGGGAGCAACCCCAAAGCTTTGGGGGAGCAGGTACAGCTTGTGAGGGTGAGCAAGGGCCCAGGAGGACAGGGGCTTCCCCTGGTGCTTTGGGGGAGCAGGTAGAACTTTTGGGGGTGAACAGGCACCTGGGAGGGCCAAGAGAGGAAACAGAGCTTTGGGGGATCAGGTAGAGCTTGCAGGCATGAACAGAGGGCTGGGAGGGCAGGGGGAGTTCCCTGGTGCTTTGGGAGCAGGTGGAGCTTGTGGGTGTGAGCAGGGGGCTGAGAGGACAGGAGGAGCCCCCCAGAACTTTGGGGGATCAGGTAGAGATTGCAGGGGTGAGCAGGGGCCTGGGAGCGCAGGGGGATGCATGGAGCTCAGGCAGCAGGTAGAGCTTCTGGGGGTGAAAGGGGCAGGGAGGGCAGGGGACTCTCTAGGGTGTCTCAGGGGGAAGGTGGGATTGAGCAGGTGAGCCGGGCTCTGGGAATGAGTGGCTGGCTGATGAGTGCTGAGGTCGGAGGCAGAGGATCTGAGCTGAAGGGAGCCCTTTTGGTGGAGGGTCAGTGAGACAGCACAGCCAAGTGCAGAGGGGCCTGAAGGATGCTCTGGCCTGAAGTGGGAGGGCTTCCCCGATGAGAGCAAGTGGCCCCCATTCATAGGCCCAGGGTTCCCATTGTGTTGCAGCCATCTCTGGGGACTCAGGACAGATGGGGGTCAGCCAAGGTAAGGGGCAGCTGCCAAGACAGTGGGCAAGGCTGGGAGTACATGAGGCTCTTCCTCGAGGTCTCAGATGAGGCTGCAGGCCTGGGCGGAGCTAACCGGGGTCAAGGGACAGCCCAGTCAGACAGGCTGCAGGCCCACAGAGCCACTCGCTGCTGGAGGTGCAGGCAGAACCCCCGCAAGGCCCCACAGTGCTGAGCGCAGGGTGCACCCAGCAAGGTCAGGGCCGGGAGGGGGTGGCAAGGAGGAGCTGGGTGGCCAGGAGCAGGGGCAGGGGCCGGGGAGCCCATCAGGGGAACCAGCTGAGGGATGGGGCCAGAGACACACCTTTGGGAGCCTGGCTGGACCAGGGTTGGGGGAGGACAGTCAAGGAGGAGACCTCAGGGACAGGGTCCAGGACCGGGGCGGGGACCTGAGCCCGGAGCGCCTGTGCGCGGAGCTGGCACAGAAGCCACGGGCCTGCAGGGCTGAGGCCGGGCTGGATGGGGGCCGAGGGCAGAGCAGGGTGGGCTGGATGGGCTCCTCCAGGCTGGGGGAGCAGGGGGCACGGGTCAGGCCAGGCACCCACCGGAGGGGAGCGGCCTCGGGGCTCTGATCCAGGAGCCCACATTCACCGAGCCCAGCTGTGTCCAGACACCCCAGCTGCCGCGCACAGAGCAGGGTGGCCAGACCACGCCGGCCGGTCGTCAGACTCTGGAAGCACATGGTGGCTGGTCTCAGCCGTGCCCCAGGCCTGGGCACCTGAGGTCCTGCCGGACCCAGCATTCACCCAGCCTCCTCTCTCACAGCCTCCACCACAGCCCCGAAAGTCTACCCTCTGGCCTCCAGCTGCGGGGACACGTCCAGCTCCACCGTGACCCTGGGCTGCCTGGTCTCCAGTTACATGCCCGAGCCAGTGACCGTGACCTGGAACTCAGGTGCCGTGACCAGCGGTGTGCGCACCTTCCCGGCTGTCCGGCAGTCCTCCGGGCTCTACTCTCTCAGCAGCATCGTGACCGTGCCCGCCAGCACCTCAGGATCCCAGACCTTCACCTGCAACGTAGCCCACCCGGCCAGCAGCACCAAAGTGAACAAGCCTGTCACTGCAAGGCCTCCAGTCCCGAAGACAACACCAGAGCCAATTACCCATCCTGTAAAAACCACACCCTACGGTATGTGAACCCAACACTCCTGCCTGCAGGGACCCCACCCCAGGGATGATGTGAGCCAGGCCCAGAGTGTCAGGGGAGGCCTGTCTGTCTTCCTCTCCTGAAGGGCTCTCAGGCTTGGGGAGGGGGTCCCCTGGAGTTCCCATGATGTCCAGGCTGCTGCAGGCGGGACGACGCCCACAGCCTTGGCCCCACAGAGGCGGGCCCTGGGCTCAGACCTGCCAAAACCTGTCCCTGCCCTAAGCCCAGCCCCTGGCTTCCTGCCCCTGGTAATCCCGTCTGCTCTCTCTGCAGATTGCAAATGCAAACAGGAACCCTGCCAGTGTTCCAAGTGCCCAGGTAAGTCAGCCGGCTTCGTCCTCTGTCAGACAGTGGCGGACAGCACCCAGGGGCAGCCGGGTGGAGAAGGCGTGCCCAGAGGAGGTCTTCCACATGCAGAACTCTGACCATGCCTTCTTGCCAGCCACAGAACCTCTGGGAGGACTGTCTGTCTTCATCTTCCCCCCGAAACCCAAGGACACCCTCACAATCTCTGGAACGCCCGAAGTCACGTGTGTGGTGGTGGACGTGGGCCAGGATGACCCCGAGGTCAAGTTCTCCTGGTTCGTGGATGACGTGGAGGTGCACACGGCCAGGACAAAGCCGAAGGAGGAGCAGTTCAACAGCACCTACCGTGTGGTCAGCGCCCTGCCCATCCAGCACCAGGACTGGCTGCGGGGAAAAGAGTTCAAGTGCAAGGTCAACAACAAAGGCCTCCCGGCCCCCATCATGAGGACCATCTCCAGGAGCAAAGGTGGGCCAGGTGGACCGGCCTAGGAGGGTCCTGTGGGCCAATCAGAGTGACCGCTGTGCTAACAGCCTTTCCTGTCCCCACAGGGCAGGCCCTGGAGCCGCAGGTGTACGTCCTGGCCCCACCCCGGGAAGAGCTCAGCAAAAGCACGGTCAGCCTCACCTGCCTGATCACTGGCTTCTACCCAGAGGAGATAGACGTGGAGTGGCAGAGAGATGGGCAGCCTGAGTCAGAGGACAAGTACGGCACGACCCCACCCCAGCTGGACGCCGACGGCTCCTACTTCCTGTACAGCAGGCTCAGGGTGAACAAGAGCAGCTGGCTAGAAGGAGACAGCTACACGTGTGCAGTGATGCATGAGGCTTTACGGAATCACTACAAAGAGAAGTTCATCTCGAGGTCTCCGGGTAAATGAGCCACACGCCACCGACCTAGCGAACGTTCCCTCACCCACCCCACCCCCCGGGCTCCAGGTCCAGTCAGGACCCCCAGCCCCTCCCTGTGTGCATTCCTCCTGGGCCGCCATGAATAAAGCACCCAGCACCGCCCTGGGACCCTGCAACGCTGTGCTGGTTCTTTCCGAGGCAGAGCCCTGGTGACTGCCAGGCCTGCGGGGGGTGGCTGGGCCGACTCTGGGCCACTTTGTTCACCATTTTGGGGGGATCTGACTCCCAATCCCCAAGGCCAGACACACACTGAGTGGGTCCAGCAGGCCACCTGGGGGCTGCCCGAGGCCGCGGAGGGGCTTGGCCAGAGGCGCAGCTCCATGGCCCCCTCCAGCCACCACCTGCCGGGCCGGACTCTGGACAGGAATGGGGGAAGCCCCCGAGACCCTCAGGGATTGAGGCCCAATGCTTCCCGCCTCTGCTTCAGCCCACGCTGTGGGGCAGGGCCGCATCCTTGTCCCCAGGCCCCTGTCCCTGGGTGTCCAGCGTCCATGTGTCCACTCTGGACCTGCCTGGGAGCCAGGCGTGCCCGGGGGTGGCCCTGCATCACCTCGGGCTCCCGAGGTCAGACCTCACTCTCCCCCATCCAGGAGGCTCTCCCTGCCCGGGGCCAGGCCTGTGCGCTCACGGGGATGTCATCCCTGTGCCTGAAAGGGGCCCCGGCCGGAGCCCTGAACGTCCAGGCCAGGGACCTACCTGCTCCCTGCGGCCTCTGAGCCCAGAGCCCCGCACACACACAAGACAGCCCACACCCAGCCTCCTCCACACACATTCAGGTGCCCACCTGAGCACAGTTCACCCCCGTCACACACCCACGACCCCTGCACACACTCAGGTCTCACACTCAGGTATCCATGGGACGAACCCCCAGGCCCAGACCCAGAGCTGGTTCTCGTGAGCCCTCACAGTGGACACCAGCTGGTCCCCACCCTCCAGCGCCCATGGGCTTCTCAGCAGCCCTTCCCCACACTGACCACACTGACCAGATCAGACATCCGTCCCTCGCCTCCCCTGGGGCACCCACGCCCCTCCCTCGCAGGCTGAGATCCCCCCTCAGCCCCTCAGCCCGGCACCCTCACCCTCGGGCACCGGGACACAGCCCGGCGCTGTCTGCCCTCCCTCCCCAGGGCCAGGGCCCAGGCACATGTGCTCTGCTGACCCTCCCAGTTCCGCTGACCCTCCTGGCTCCAGGCCTGGCCCCCAGGGCAGAGAAGGCCGGGAACTGAGCCTCTGTCCTGCGGGGAGGTGGGATCTGGGCCCCAGGTCAGGGCGCAGCTCAGGATGGGAGCAGGACCCCACAGGCCAGGCCCAGACAGCGGCCAGGGCTGGAGGGGTGGGGGCTGGGGCTGGGGCCCAGAGACTGACCTCAGGTGACCCCTGCCCAGCCCACCTTCCCCCCAGAGGGAGCCCTGCCCCGAGGCCCCGATGACCCTGCCCAGCCCCCCGTGGGCAGAGACAGCACTGACCACCCCTCCCTGTGCAGACCTGCGCCTGGAGGAGGAGAGCTGTGCGGACGACCTGGATGGGGAGCTGGACGGGCTCTGGATGACCATCTCCATCTTCATCACGCTCTTCCTGCTCAGCGTCTGCTACAGCGCCACCGTGACCCTCTTCAAGGTGGGGGGACACCCCACTGGGCCCTCGGGCCCCCTGTCTGTCCCCAGGGTCCCCTCAGTGTCCCTCCCCCTCCCTCACTGCCCCCCATTGTCCACTCACTTCGCTTCACTGTCCACTCACTTTCCTGTCTCTCACTGCCCCCTGTTCCCCCACTTTCCCCCACTGTCCCGTCACTGTCCCTCACTGGCCACTCACTGTCTACTCATGCCTCTGGGGGAGGCCCACGTGGGGTCCAGTCTCTGCTCATACTGTCCCCACCCCCCCAGGTGAAGTGGATCTTCTCCTCAGCAGTGGAGCTAAAGAGGACGATCATCCCCGACTACAGAAACATGATTGGACAGGGCGCCTAGAGCTCCTGTGAGCAGAGTCCAGGGTCACCCCAGACCAACTGGGCAGTGTCCATTATTCTGAGCCTCAACCTGCACCAGGCCTGCTCCTTCGCGCTCTGACCCAGCAACCTCTGACCTCTCGGCCAGACTCACCTGCATTTCCACTCTTACCTTGTGGCCATGACAACCTGGCCCGCCCACCCAAGACCCGAGTGGACACCAGGTGGTGACCCAACCTGAGCTGATGGACACTGAGGGCCTCTGGGAAGCCTGAAAGACACCAATGGGCTGCGAGTCCCCCACCAGGAACATACAGGTTGGAGTTAAGTTCTGCCTGGAGAAGTAGGAGGCTAGATCCAGGGCTGTCTGCACAGGGCACCCCCACCATGCATCTTGTCCAGGCCAGAATCCAGACCAAAGGTCCCTGGGGGAAGCCCCTGTGTCAGATCCTTGGGAACAGATGTCCTGCAGGGACCCAGCCTCCCAGCAGGGAAACTCCTGGGAGGACCATTAATGGTTACTCAGGTCACCTCCACTGAGGATGCTGCTGCGAGCAGGGCCTGGGCCCACGGCTACTGCAGGAGCCCTGGCGGGGGAAGGGGTGATGTCCAGCCAGACAGACCACCTGGAGAGGGGCCTGGTGACTGGTCCCCAGTGCACAGAGCTGGAGGGGCTCCCAGAATATAGGACGGCAGGGCAGCCAGTCCATCCTGCGGCCAACAGCCTGACACGTCCCGCAAGAGCTCAGCCTGCACCTAGGGCGGGCATGAGAGGTGAGACCAGAGACCCACAAAGGCCCAGTCCCAGGGCCCAGAGCCCTGCCTCGCCTCCCAGTACAGACTCTCCCGTCATTGCAGAAACGTGCATGGGTGTCTCTGGATGGGAGGCGCTGCCCCTAGGGCTGGAAGGAAGGACCACAGTCTCGGAGCTTGGGAAGTTTTTCTGTATAATGTGGGGGCCTATTCATTCTCTTTGCTGTCTCTTTATCTCTTTAATGACAATAAAGCAACTTTACTTCACCTAGCTCACTGGCCAGTCTCCATATGTTGACATATCTCCTTGCCTCGTGGAGTCCACAGCCTGGTCAGTGAGAAGGACCTCAGAAGGGGCGCTGGGGACACTGCACTCAGCCTGGACTGCACAGAGGTGATGGCTGTGTCACAGAAAATGCGGGATGGGGCCCAGGGCTCCAGAGAGGGACCAGGAAGGGTGGTCACCCGCATGTGATGAGGCCACTGTGTCCGGCGGCCAGCCTGGGTGCAGAATGGAGTCAGGACTTTGTCCTCACAGACACCGGGGACTGAGGAGACTGGACACTCCCCAAGGGCAGAGGAAGATCCTGCTCAGGGACAGCTCCAAGAAGGGGGCCAGGGCCTGGGTGGGTGCTGGCCATGCTGGGCTCTCTCCGGACGGCATTTTGGGGAAGCTGGGTCATCGTGGGCACTTGCCTTGTCAGCTGGGGGCTATGCTAGTGTTTGTTCAAGACTTTCAGGGGGAAGGGAGGCCCTGCCGCTGGACAACCACTGAGGCCCAGCAGGACCGGCTCCAGACAGGGAGCTGTCATCATGTCAGCATGGCCACATCGCCCCAAGGCCCTCAGAGGTGCTGGTCCAGGTTTCTGTGGGTAGAGAGACAGACAGAGGACTTCACGCATCATTCAGAGGACCAGGCGTAAAACTGGGTGCTGGGAGGGGGCCAGCAGGATGGCCATGGGGTGGACACCATGGTCCAGGAGACCATCTGGCCCTGGGGGACCCAGTCAGGCAGTGTGAGCATGGGGTTCCCTCTGTCTGATGGTTCTTTGCGGCTCCCCAACACTCTGCTTTTCCCACACACTAACCATCTAATCAAGACGCTGACCATCCAATCAGCCGTCCAGCCTGCCCAACCCTGGGCTCTGCCCCTCACGTCCTTCTCTCAGACCAACAAATAACCTCTAGCCGGCCTGTTGTAGGCATGCATTCCAGGAAACAAACTCACTCAGAAGGACAATGCAGATAGTGGAGTGCAGTTTAAACACCGGCGGGCCCAAGGCAGAGTCTCCTCTTAGCCAAGGACCCCGACCAGTTTTTGTGAAAACCTTATATACCCTAACTGTACGTGCACAAACCTCCCTCCCCAAATTCCCTGAAAGTAGTCTTAACAAAGGAAAAAGAAAGTTACAATCAAAGTTAGCCTGTGATTCTTATGCCTTTAGCCTAGGTAGTTAACAGTGGACAATTATCAACAGGCCTGTGGTCATACCCCAATAAGCATAATAGAATGTATGATTCTATTCAGTTACACAAATAATTAGGGTATTCTTTTAGGCCATGGAGAGTCTAGGTATAAGCTCTGGGGCTCTTCCGGGGGCCTGGTTTTCCAACTGGTATGTCATTTCCATAGATACCGGGCATATAGCTCAAAGTCCACAGTCTGGCCCAAGATAGAGTCCTGCTTTCCAGATGGAGCCTGTTCTGTTTCCTCCTTCAGGCCCAGCCCTCAGGAAGGCCGGGGTGGTCAAAGGGAGGACTGTCCACAGGCCTTCTAACTGAACACAGCTCCAGCCTGGCCATATTCAGTTCCTAGGAGCACTTCTTTGTTCTTGCTTACAAGTTGTTCAACATGGGAGGAACCTCTTCTACACCAGAAGAAACACTTCCGGGAGGTGTCCATAAGCCAATCCTGTGAGAAGCCCACACACAACTAGAAAAGACCTGCTCAGCAATGAAGACCCAGCTCAGCCAAAAATAAATAAATAAAAACATAGTTTTTAAAAGAGGACTGGAAGCTTTTTAATTTAGATGGTGTAAGAAATTGTCAGGTGAGTGTAATCTTGGTTCTGACTCGTCTCAACAAAAATTTGAAGCAATGGACATTAAAGCCTTCAGCACATCACAGCTCTCAGACAGACCGGGTTATAGCTCTCAGTTCTCGAACAGACCGTGTTATAGCTCTTAGACAGATCAGTGTTGCCGCTCCATGATACGGCTCAGTTTTATTTAAAAAATAGCAGGAAAATATATCCTCGAGCTGTGAGGGCATGCCGACCCAAAGACGTGAAAGGAACAGAGAGCCCCAGCCCTTTGATTTCTCTGTTTATATGTTTTTTCCTCCCCACTGGGTTGGCCCTATGTAAACTGGGCTAGCCAGGAGTGCTGTTTGTTCTACCTGAGGTCCTCACTCTGGTCCTTGGAATTTCCTTTGTTCTATTTTCAAAGGCTTTTCCCTTCCTTGTCCTTTAGCCACCACCATTTTGGACTCCTGTTTCTTATTCTAACTACCTAACAAAATAAGTTTTAGAAAACGCAGAGGAACCAGAGATCAAATTGCCAACATCCGCTGGATCATCGAAAAAGCAAGAGAGTTCCAGAAAAACATCTATTTCTGCTTTATTGACTATGCCAAAGCCTTTGACTGTGTGGATCACAATAAACTGTGGAAAATTCTGAAAGAGATGGGAATACCAGACCACCTGACCTG